TGGAGACAGGGAGAGGGAAAGTAAGAAATCACCCACCCTAGAGGATAGTCCTGTCACAATCCTTTCTTATCCATTCTCCTTCTGGAATCTTGGGCAAGTACACACATGTGATTTTCAAGCCATCGGGTCTAGGAATTGAACCATGGTTGGCCAGGTGGGAGTCCAGCAACAAAACCACTACACCATCGGCTGGCCCCTCAAAACAAAATCACTTTAAACTTAAACTGTTTTTATTGTAAACTATAACCCAACAGGAGCATGGCCTCATGTCACAAAGGTGTTAATAACATTCTACAATTGTGAAGAGCAGGAAATGGGGGTGACAGCTATGGGGCACTTAAGTCATAGCCCCTCTTTAGCATCCTTGCCACATCCGTGGCAAATATTACTAAATGAGCACTTCACTCTCATCCTATAGGTCTGGGCACATCGGCAAAATCCTTCACAGAGCAGCCTTCCAGACAGTGGTTGTTGAATGCTTAGAGCTACAGATACTGCAATCTTTTGAGGATCCCTGGCATCTAATACTCTGGATTCTCACAAACATCAAAACTCAATAGAAATCAATAAATCAATGTTTCCTTATAGTCAAAAGCTTTTTTTCCAATTAACGATGCTATATTTTTGGTATAGTAGAAAGTATCTCAAATTTAACCACAATATTATAAAAATAATTTCTAAATTTCACTATAATGTGGGTATTATTTTCTTCCAAGTTTAAACAGATACAAATATCTAAATGTCAACATTAAAATATGGTATTACATAAAATTTTCTATTTTACTATTACCTGCCAGAACATTGTCAAAATAATTAGGAAAGATTAATTTCCTAACTATTGATATTTCTTAAGACTATAAAATTAGGGGTTTTTTTTGTCGAGGTTTTTGCCTTAGGGTGTGTGTACTCACTGTAGAGAGAGAAACAGAGACAGTGAAAGGGAAAATCATCTCTCTCTTCACTTCCATTATCCTCCTGGGATCTTGAGTATGCACGCACACGTACGCAGTGTGACTTTCAAGCTACCAGTTCTGAGACTAAAGCAGTGGTAAGCCATGTGGGAGTCCAGTGATACAACCACTATGCAATCTGCTGGCTCCTAAAATTAGGTATTCTTTAAGTATTTGGTATGTTCATTAAATTAAAGAGAACTTTTTATCATCTGTTATTTTATGAGATGTTCAAAATTTATAAGTTTATTCTAGGAACATCTCCTTTCTGTTATCTGTATAATTCCAGAAATGCATAACCATCTTGGACAAACAGCATATAAAACAAAATGAACAAAGATTACATTGGCAGAAATGGTTAATTGCCACAGTGTCTAAAGTATCCTGCCACCTTCCATTCCATTTTATGATAATTTCCTCAATGAGAAAAACAAAGTTGGTTGAATGCCTAAGAATATTTTTCTCTAAAAAACTTGAAATATTTGGCTAGTATCTGTCTTGCCAATGACATATTCCTGTACTTTGATGAGCAGGCTTTTAAGGTTATTTTATGTTTAGAATTAAATATAAATTGGATTTAAATGATTTTTTTTGAAGCTCAAATAAAATAATAACGACTATATATGGTGACTTCTAATGCTGTCTTTCATCTTCACATGGTCTCTTTAAGTTCAACCACATAGAGCATTTCTTTACAAGGTATGTAATATTTTTCACTTCCTTATACTTAAGGAATTTTGTAGTCAGCATAATGGCTGTTTAAAGAAATTGTTTTACTAAATTATTCCTATTTAATATGAAGAATATAAATAAAGATTTTAAAACAGGAAGGACATTCATAAGATGCTAGAATTTAGACTAATGAGACAATTCAAATACTCATATAAGATTCAGATACCATTGAGTTGTCGGAAAAGTCACGACACATTTTTCTATGTTTTCTATGTAAAAAGGTGTTGTGGCTTTTCCAATGACCCAACATTTTAAAATATATACATAGAAGTGTGTTAGATTTAGCAAGTTATAATCCTTTTCAGAGGATATTTAAATATCGGTACATTTTAAAGCAAATGGAAGATATTTTCAGAACTTAAATATAATTCATATATTCATTATTTTCTTACAATGGAAGAAATATTTTGAGAAGTTAAAACATAAATTATATCAGGTCATCTCCCTTTTTATA